CGATGATAGGGGATCTCCTTGCCTTACTCCTTCACTGACTTCAAATTTTTCCGACATTATATTATTTATTTTAACTCTGCTCTCAGTCTTGGACAACGTTATTTGTATCATTCTTATAAGTTTTCTACTGATACCCAATTCTTCTAGTGCTTTGCTCATTTGGTTCCGTTTTATTCTATCGTACGCTTGTTTGAAATCAATGAAGAGGACCCTTGTCGGCAGATTGTGTTGATAACTTTCCGCTTGCAATTCTCTGAGCGTAAATATCTGATCTATTGTACTTCTACCAGGTCTGAAGCCACATTGGTACTCGCCGACAATGTTTTCTATCACTCCTGCCAATTTGTCCTTTATACACGCTGCAAGAATTTTGTATGCAGTATTCAATAGTGATATCCCTCTGTAATTTTGACAATCTGTCCCATCGCCTTTCTTATAAAGTGGGCATATAATTGCATCTGTCCATTCTTGTGGTAGTTGTTCTTTAATCCAAATCTCCTTTATTAATTTGAACATTTGCTCCTCTAGCGTTTTCCCTCCATATTTGAACATCTCTGCAGTTATATTATCACTTCCTGGACTCTTGTTATTTTTTAATTTCTTTATTATTTCCTTTATCTCGTTTCTGGTAGGGGGTGTTTCTTCTGTCTCATTTATTTGGTTCCTATGTTTCTCCGTTCTTATAGGCTGTTGCTGTTCTATCCTGTTTTCGTCATTTAGCAATTCATCGAAGTATTCTTTCCATCTAGCGGCTATTTCATTTTCTCCACTAATGGCGTTTCCCTCTTTTATCTTTGTAAAATATTGTTTTTTGTTGGTATCCTCTTTTTTCATTTTTTACTCCCTGGTATAAATTTCTAATTTCTCTATTTTTGTAATTTTCTTCTATTTCTTTCAGCTGATTTTCCATGTACTTTCTCTTTTTCATTCTCAAAACTTTTTTTACGATTTTTCTTTGTTTTTCATATCTGTTTCTTGTTTCTTCCGTATCACTTTTGATCATATCCATCCTTAGTTTACTTCTTTCTTCAATTTCCTTCTGGCATTCTTCGTCAAACCAATTCTTTTTCTTTTTAGTTATATATTTATTGCATTCTTTAGCTGTGTTACTGATAATCTGCTGAATTTTGTCCCAGTCCTTGTCTATGTGCCCTTCTAGGTGTATTTCATTTAATTTTCTATCGATACCTTTTCTATACATTTCTTGTTCTTCTTGCGTTACAAGCCGCACTGGTTTATTTGTGTTCTTATTTTTTCTTTTGCGATTTTTTTCTTCCGGTATCAGTTGAGCCATTTTAATTCCTAACATGAAGTGATCCGAGTCAGCGTCTGGTCCTCTGTATGTTCGCACGTTCTTTATACATTTTCGGTCTTCTCTCTCTATTAGTACATGGTCAATTTGATTTAATGTTTTTCCATCTGGGGATCGCCATGTTGCTTTGTAGATGCTTTTTCTCTCGAAATATGTACTCATTATTAGCATATTTTTTTCTTTGGCAAAATCTATCAAAAACTGCCCGTTCTCATTAGTTTCTTCGTGTTTGCTAAATTTTCCTATAGTTGTTCTATATATTTCTTCTTTTCCTATCTTTGCATTTGCGTCCCCCAGTACTACTTTAATGTCATATCTTGGAATACTTTCAAATACCCTATTAACTTCACAGTAGAAATCCTCTTTTACTTCAATATCTTTTTCTTCTGACGGTGAGTGAATGTTAATGAATGTGATTTTTTGATATTTTCCTCTTATTCTTAGACAACATAGACGATCAGATATTGGTTTAAACTCTACAATTGATGCTTTTAACGCTTTATTTACCAAAAATCCTGTGTGTAATATTCTGTTTCTGCCTCCACTATTAAAAAATAAGCTATTTTCAATTTCCAGCATTTCCTGACCCAGTTGCTTTGTTTCTTGTAGTGCCACTACGTCAAATTTAAACTTTTCAATTTCTTTAGTTAAGTGTTTCAGTTTTCCTTCCTCAAAAGTACCCCTTACGTTCCACGTTCCTACCATTAAGTGATCTTTTGGATATGTGTTTCTATTGTCTTTTTTTGTATTTTTTATCTTTAAATCACCCTTTCCTATGACAATGTTACCGGTATTCATGTCCTTGTTCCTTGCGTTGTTCGTCTTCGTATTTTTACTATCATAGCCGTTTTCTAGTTTTTTGAGTTTGTTATTTCCATTTTATCTTCCTTGCTATTCCACTTCCATTCAACACCATTTATCATCATTTTCCTTGCTCCTATTTTGACTTCGTTTCCTTTGTTTCTTTCCTCTTGTGCAATTTTTCTTATTATTTTTTGAATTTCTCTCTCTCTCACCGTTGTGTCATCGTTGATGTATACCTTTTCTTTTTTGACGTCCTTTAACTTTGCTTTATTCTTCATAACTTTTATCTTTTCTTGTTGGTTCTCCATTTCAATTAGGCACGTTTTTGGACCTAGTTTGTGGGCCGTCTTTATTTTGGCCTCTACTGCAAGGTGATCTTTTATAAAATTGCCAATTGCTTTCTTCAATACCAGCTGATCCTGCGTATCAATTGCTAGCCCGTTCATTACCACATTATTTCGCCTTCTCCGTTTTTCTATAATTTCTATGTTGTCTCGTATTTCCCTTAATTCTTTCTTAATCTGTATGTTTTCCTCTTTTAGAATTTTATTATCATTCTTTAGTTCCTTGTTTTCCCTTATTAGATGTTCAACTACCTCCTTGTATTCCTTTTGGTCTTCTTTTATTTGTCTAATGTCGCTGGTTAGGTTGCTCATCATTTCTAGCAATTTATCAAGTTTTGCTCCATCCTCTTTTCCTCCTGTCTTCTGAGGGGTTCTTGTTAGTTTTTTATTTTTTCTGGATCTCTCTTCCTCTTGCTCATCATCCTCTCCTCTATTCTTTCTTTTTGCTCCTTCATCTGTTGTTGTATCGTCACTGTCCATATACGTTTTACCTTGTAGATATTTTTCCATCCTTGTATGCTTTTCCTTTTTTTTTTTTCACTTCGCGGATTACTTTCAACTCTGATTGGCGCCAGACACTATCTCTCGCTTCAACAGCTCGGAAGAAACAGTATCTACCACTTCCTGTTGAATCCCCTATTCGAAGTCTCGACTAATTTTGTACTCCGTGGCAAACACGAAACTTTGCACACATTGGCAACGTCGCAATTCAATTAAACGTAGCTTCCTTCCCAGTGTTAGTTATTATCAGTTAACCTCGCTTTTTTCCCTTATCCGATTATTCACTTTGTTATTGTTTTTTTGCAGTTTTCGGTGTTTATTTTTGCACAGTTGTTACCTTATTCAGTTATCTCAATTCTCACTACAACGTATTGAATTATTTCCCGTTGCAACTCTCGAATTTCGGGTTTATCGCAGACAGAAAATAAAACAAAAATCTTCAACTCCCACAAAAATCTTCAACTCCCATGTATCTGCGTTAGTTATAAAGATTGGGAAATGATTGCTCTGGTGATGATCATTAGATGTAAGCTATGTTAATAAAGAAGCTTATTTTGGGTCGCTAAAGCTTAGATTATTATTGGAGAAGGAACTAGTAGAAATATTAAAGTAACTATGAGAACCCGTGTTCAACCGACATGTACCAGAGCAGCAGTTAACATTTTAGACAATTTTAAATTGAAATCCCCGAAAAGTATGTAGATTATTGTAGATGCTAGGTAGTTCTAATATCAGGTTTAGTTTAGCATATCTTCTTCTAGAGCGTAGTTAGGAAGAACGTATAAATGACAGATTATGAGTTTATTTGGACATCAGCAAATGATAGCTATCTGGCTCTTATGAAATTGGTCCATATATAGTGGAGCTCCTCGTGTGTTTTAAATAAGGAAGTTTAAAATTATTTACATTGAGTTCTTGCAATGGAGTTCAAAGGGGTAGTGAAGCGCAATATAAGATGCTGTTTCCAGTTATCATTTTCTAGCCTCTCCTATTCAATTCCTATCCTTACCTCCATGAAGTGAGGCTTGGGCTGCATGGGTGACCCTTGAAAAACCTTAGCAACCTTACTGGAGAACCCATAAGCTTACAAAAAAAGAAGCTAAGCTAAGAAGAATTAACTTCGACTTCCTCCTTGTCAGGGACTACAAACGTTATCCTACGAAAACTCATGGTATGTGCATATTGATCATCCGATGCTTCGGAGGGAGGGACTGTTAGATAAGTAAAAGCGGGATGGAAGGACATAGGATTAAACTAAAGATTTTTTTGGAGACAGAAATAAGCCTGCGGAGAGAAACAACAGTGGAATTAATTATGACGTGCGGTGTATTTTTTAATAGTTCATCAACGATGTCGGTAAATGTGAGAAAAATGCAGAATCGATTATTCGAAATGCGAGATGCAAAAGTAATATTTTTTGAATAAACTATTTCACCATTTGCTTTAATACATTTAAATAAAACATTATTTAAAATGGAGTGCATGAAAATAGCATGTTCCCTTTTAGGAAACTAAGGGGAATGAGGCCTAGGGAGTGCGGCAGTGACATATGATTTTGGGTTGGAATTGGAGTTGTTTTGTGTAGGTGTAGATGGTTGAGTGTTGTTCATGATGTTTGTAGTTCTGGTCACCAAGACCGCAACACAACATTTGAGAAAACCTAATAGGTCCTTTCCCAAATTGAAAAGGAAGAAAAAAGGATCTTACCTGGATTCTCTGGATTTTCACTGGTTTTCTTTAATTACATTAATATAGCCACAATTAAATTATACTTTTTTAATTTAATTTAAATTAGATACTTGTTTTCTTATCACATTGTGATTAAGGCACTTCTCTTTAAGTAAACACAAGTTATCTCTCAAACTTTTCATAGAACATAAATAATTTCAGACCTCAAACACTTCTGTGATCCTACGACCAACGTAGAATTATTCAAACTGGCCATGCAAAATTATAAATTATGCTAAGAATCGATAAAAATCGGATTTGTGGTATTTTTTATGACAGATAATCCTTAAAATAAAATAAAACAATAGGTATACTAAATTGAATTTATTTTTCTAAATATAAACTGATGCTTATAAGTAAAAGAGAATGTGACAGGTTTGGTTTGAGGGCAAGACGGGGCCTGTAGTTTGGGCCTATCACATTTTTAAACAATACAAGACTTAAAATACCTTGACGGCCTTTGATAAAACTTCCGTCTCTTTGGTACATTATTACACATTTTACAGAAAACAAAGTATTATTTGAACATTACATTTTGTGTTGATAGGTTTATTTATTTAAAGAAACATTTTACAAAATTAAACAGTATACTTATCTCTTGAGTAATCAGAGCTTATATTATTTATTTGTGACAATTTTGTTTCTCATATAGACGTCCATCAAATTTTTGGCATAAAAAGAGGCCATTTATATTAAAATTAGAAACCTCATAATAGGTATACGATATTTCAATCGCAATCTAATACGTCCCTACAGTTTTACCGTTTTACAATGACTAGAGTAATCTATCTAACCAAATAAGTTTTGCAGGAAGACCTCTAAGATAACCGAACAAAAATATTATAGGTCAAACTATATTTTACTTTTTAATTTTAAATATGCACAATAGTGATTATTGTTTGTCTAATTTGTTAAGTTTTTGTCTGTAAAAATATTTTAATTAATGGATGAACAAGAAGTCAGAAGAGAAAGTACATATTGAAAGAAATTTTAAATGTATATATTTAACAAATAATATCAATGGCACTCCTGTGAGGTGTCCAAGTCGTTCAAATATAATTACCAACTCCCTGTCATCACTATAAAACCAGCTTTGCTTAGTAACAAGGCTTTGGCTCAAAACTCACCACAAAAAATGAATATTCTGCTAACAATTTTGATGTTTAAGTTTACCATAATTAATTGATAATGATGATGGAGAAAAAATATGAATATGCCTATAAGTACCAATGTTTAAAACAGATTGTGCTGCAGAATTTATTGGGATAATTAAAAGTTTGCGTGAAGCTAAAACTGAACATTTTAAATGAAGATTTTTATTTTAGGTATTATTAAATCTCAAAAAAAAAAGAAACAAGAGCATAAAAATAATACAAGCTCCAATTACTTCTATAAAATAAATAAAAATTTACCGTTTTACATCTTACAGTTTATTAAATTGTATAAATAAATTTTTGTAAGCAATAAAAAGTTAATTCTTTCTTAGTATTTTTATAAAAAAAGGTGCTAAAAATTATAAATTTTACAAATCATACATTTTTTAGTGTATTTTACAATAAAATAATACTGAGAGAGATAAGTCCAAGATAAGTAACAGGCCAAAAAAATTAATGTTTTTAAGTACGTTTCTGTGACTAGTCGATTTTAGATGAACTTTTTAGGCAAATTTACAAACATGGTGCCATTAAAAAATCTAAATAACAAAAAGATTTCAACAATTTGCAATGGATAACATTCCACGACCGGACTTATTCATAGCAAATTATTGAAAGACTAGCAAAAATAAATATTCAACAACTGGAGAGATTGAAGTACACCTTTTATTATATTTGATGACCTGGCAAAAAAAATATCTTTAGTATTAGATATATTTGAAAATAATTTATTTTAAAGTATTTATTTATGTGTACAATTTATTGCAATTATATGACCCAAATACAAAGCGTTTACATCAAACGTAAGTGTTTAGGTATATCTCGTCTGAGAATATGCCATACCGCTATCACCCATAAACGTCTGCTGGAGAGTAAATTAAAACCACAATTCTACGTATGTGATATTGTACTCAGTGCTCGCGATATTAACTGGAGTGTCCTTTATATTGCATAGAGAGACTTGAAGATAAATTACAGTATACCTTACAAACAATATTAAGTGACGGAATTGATATGAAAAATTTTCCATCATACTTATATTCCATCAATGTACTAAATAACTTGTAACTTGTACTACCGCCAATAACCCTTTGAGATTGAGACATAAATAAATAAATAATTTACAAGAATATTAGTATTTATTTGCATAATAGTAACAACTCCAGTGTTTTTGCCCATCGGGCTACGATTTTTAATTACATATATCATTTTTTTGTTATGAAGAGGTTAAGAAAAAGCATTTATACAATATTTAATTTGGAAGAAATGGGAAAACAGATATATTTTAGAAGTTGTTAATTCCTGTACGAAAAAGTTCTTGATTGCTAAAAATATATGTACTAAAAGATCTGACGATTAAACTTTTTAGCAGATTTTATCATAAAAATAATATAAAGAAAAACCCGCATTGCTGCTACAAATAATATTTTCATCAATATTTTTTGAACTGCAATGTATCCCAATGACGGCAAGGTCTTTACAAGACATTGACATATATACCAACGAAAGACAGTCAAGAAAACATCCTAAATAGAAGGAACTGATATTAATGACATTCTAAAAATATTCTGTAACAAAATATAAGAAAATGTTTTATCTTTTCAGCAATTACATACATTTCTAAAGAAGAACTATTTTCAGACACTAATTAAAAAAAATTTTATCCCATCATTGTAAGAGGAAACACAACATATTTATACAGTATAAGTAAATAAATAAAAAAAAATCAAATTACATACAAGTTATAGTTTATTATTTTGTCACTTCAAGGCAAAGTATTCGGAACGCGAGAAATTGGGAGCAGAAGATAATCATGGTTAAAAAGCCTGAGGAAATGGTTTTCCACGACAACAACGAATCTATTTTAAGCATCAGTTAATAAAATTATTATAACCAGAATGAACGCTAATATTCGAAAAGAATAGGCACCAAAAGAAAAAGAATATTGTCACAAATAAATTCCTAACTTTTTTTCTTTTATTAAATTCCTTAATATAATATATAAATATATATATATATATAAATATATATATATATATATATATAATATATATATATATATATCAAATTAGGTAACCCACTAGAATAATAATTCTGCTCTCTCGTAATAAGTCTCTCGTTGTTTATATTATTTATAATTTATTTATTTGTGCTAGTCTGACTGATAGTATGATAACGTGCACTTACAAAATAAATTCTAGTAAAACATATCTTTGGTGTATCTTAGTCACTAAAAATATAATAAAATAAAATATACTATAGACAATAAAAACACATTAAAATTAAAGTGTAAATAAATAACATAGATTCTTCGTAGTATTCTGAGACCAATGTATATTTTACAATAATTATTTGCTTGATCTAAAACACAAGTAATTTTACAAAAAAGAAAACAAATACTACAAATATCTTATCTATACACGTTCATTGATCGCTCATACTTTTTACGCATTTGCACTCATTCATTCGTTTCTTAGGGACGTTTTTTCATATTTAAATAATATATAACTTTCGAAAATATCTATCATAACCGCTAAAAAGATAAAATACTCTATGTATTCATATAACATTATTAAAATACTGTAATTTTACATGTGGTGTTTTGGTTTTGTGTTAAAAAATATAGGTGCAAGAAATGGCAGAACTGTGTACTGTGTATAAGATAAAAAGCTGTAAAATTCTTTGAACAACGCATAGAAAGTTTTTTTTATAAATTTAAAAATTAGAAAATTCAGATCAGCAACAGAAAATTATTTGCGTGATACAATTTGAAATATACCCGTGACGACGCTGTGGCACTAGTTTCGTGACGCTGGCCTAAGCATTTTACTATGGAGAAAAAAAGTAATCCAACGCCAGTATAGAAGAATAATAAATTTAATAATTGTACCTACCTATAATAAAATTTAAAAAAAATTTCAGGAAAAATCAAGGACATCTACCTTAGCTCAGTTTAAGGTTTAGTATTAGAATGCCAAATATCTTACATCAACATCGGGCGGAAAAAATAGCAAAATTTAATTTAAAATGCTACAGCAAAAAATAATTACATTCATCCATAAGCACGGTAGGTACATACTTAATATAATACTTAAAATAATCATATGGAGTAATTTTGTCTTTTTAATTGTTATATATTATATTAAATAAATGCTATATTGCCCTACAAGGCGGAAAAATATATAGACATTCTATGTAAATTTAAATATGAAACATTTTTCGTCCCTTTCTAAATTTCGTACAGTCTAGCGGCGAAACGTTAAGCTAAGTTCAGATCATGGGTAAAAATGTTTTCTGTTTTGAGGCAAGCGCTCCCACTCTCGGTCGGTGAGTTGGCAGAGGCTAGGGAATTTGCTCTAGTCGCCGCTAGAGGGCTCCGACTGCTTTGGTCTGTGTTTGCATTTGAGTTTATGCAACTGATTTGTGCTGGCTCATTGCTGTTGATTCCATTGGCGGTAATATCGTTGTAATAATACGCACTATCTGAAAGATAAATTTATTATTTAGAAATTTGTGAAAATATGTATATTAAGAATATAACGATTTTCAGTTTTGGTACCAGATAACAGTTAGATATAATATTATGTTATTTATTCACTATACTAAACAATATGAACAAATTTTGTATAATGTATTATCATAATTCGTTTCTAGGTAGTAACAGTGGCGGATCTAGAGATTGCCAACTTGAGGGGAACTGCCAATGAAATACCAACCAAAAGCCAAAAAATATAAAACCAAACTAGATAAAAGACACAAATAATATATTTTTTTAACCCGTGTATTTGCTCCTGGTTAGGGGCAACAGTAACGGTATAAACAACTAAATAGAACTAGGATAGTTATACGCTGGATTATAGCAATATGGAAGTTACGTTACAAAAAAAACACAAACATAGTTATTAACAAGGAACGCCGTTTGCGATAATAAAACTAAAGTTTAGATATAAACAGGATTCTGGAATGGATATAGCAATGTACGAGCTTATAAAGCTCTAATATATGGGTACCATATATTTTTGGAGTCACTTGGTTGTCTCCAAAAAGCGCTTTCCGACAGTAATCTAATGCATCGCTAGAAAGTTTGTAGCTTTAGTCTCCATAAAACAGTTTCATTGTACGCAGATGTCCCTTTATTGGCGCATGTCCAGTAAGGAAGCCTGTTCTGACTCTGAGCTGCTTCCTGCTTGTTTTCCGCAGTACTTCAGCCATATTAGCATATTTTTGTGCAATATACACTTTGATATGTGTTTGACCGGGTATATTTTCTAGTTAGAGTTATTACCTACATTGCCTTCGGATCCAGGCTTTTTCTGGTCGCAGGCGAGGCTTTTTGGCACGTCCGCGGCAGGATCTGGACAGAAGTATTTTGTAGCTGATGTTCTTCTGACAAGTGTATTAGCTCTTTCATTGCCGTATATTCCGCAGTGACCTGGAACCCGCACCACTGTTTCACTGTTATATTAAGCCAGTATTGTCCTCTTGGCATTCCTACACTAGCTCAAAGTCTGAGTTAGTGCCTTGATGACTGCTTGGCATCTATACACATATTTATCTGCTTCGGTTGGCAATCCTCATGTTAAGTTCTCTCGTACACTGCAATATTTCAGAAATCTCTACCTGAAATACAGAGGTGTATTTTCCTAGTGAAATCGAAATATTTTGATTTCCTCTACTACCGAATATTTCCAAATATTCTGTAGTTTTAGACCCGTCTATATACCAGGTATAACCCTTCAGTCTGGATATAGCGTATCCTCTGTCCCATCTTTCTCGTGAACAGAAATCCACTTGGAAAGGAACTTTGGGTACCATATGGTCAGAAATCATCATCCATTCGGTATCCCTAATTTCATTTATGATTTTACTATATCCTGATCCAACGTGTACGTTACTCAGGTTTGCTCCCTAACCACCCCCTTTAAAATTATACGTTAATGAGGAAGATCAAGTAGCTGCCGTTGGTGTGCCCCTCACAACTTCTATGATTCCCAGGCAAATAAGTCTTTGGACCTTACTGAGTTTTTAGAATTGCACATTTTTGCTACACCTTTGGTCACCATATCACTGATACATATAAATTTTTTGGTTTTGCCACTATGTCATAAATTTAATGCAACATGTCTAGTTTTACCTCACATTTTCCCATGGTAGCATCTGTCTACAAATAATGTAGTTACCACCCTCTTAGTTATCGTTCTATCTGCTTATTCCAATTAAGCCTCGAGTCTAATATTACCCCAAAATACTTTATTTTACTCACCAGATTTAGATATATACCATTTAGACCATTATGTGGCTATATGGATGCCGCATGCTTTTGAGAAAAAAGATAAACAAAATTATAAATTTAATAAATGTAATTAATAGTTTCTGCTCATAATAAACAACGTACAACGTACACGACGTACCATGAAAGTTTTCCATGCAACAAACTGTAAAATAAGCAAAAGTTGGTAGGCTTAGTAAGAGTATTTTTAATAGATAAGAGATAATAAGAGAAAGATAATAAGAGACAAAATACAGTTTGGTCTGATAAATTTATAGATCAATATGGAGCAACATTTATGGAACCAGGATGTATTGTAGTCGTTAATAAATTGATTAACATTGTCTGTTTAATGGTACCAATACATGAATTTCTAAATTAATATGTACAATCATCACTAAAAAACTTTCTAATAGTTGCATTAATTTTTCACAATCACATACTTGAAATAAAAGTTGTAGGTACTGAGCTAATTTAAAAAGTTTTCGTGTATGATTGTTCTTCATATGCATTTTTTGCATCCAAGGAATCTGTTTTTACCTGTATAAAACCTAAAACTAATAATGTGTTTAAATAAGACAGTAGCTAACAGTAAAAAGGTGCAGTATAGTAAAGGTGTTTGAACAGTTTTTTTATATTATTTAATGATTTAAATGAAAAAATTTATACATGTATATATAAAGACGGTCTAATTTAGCAATGGAGTAACATATGTAAGAAAATATGTCACTACTTATATTGATAAAGTGAAGAGAAGCAATTTGATTATTGGAATTTGGTCGCAGATACTACAAGAATTTTATGTTTATAAATTGATATGAATCAGTTACTAAAAACATTTGTTTTTACTTTCTCCACTTTACAATCAAATACGAAACTTTTTATATTTACTAAGTAAATTAGTTTAATTTTAAAATTGACTTTCCTTTTTCATTGTGGTTAAATATGTTAAATAAAGAATACTTAAATTGATATTTTAATAAAACTAATTTCGGTAATTTTAAAACATAATTTTACATTTTCACAGCCTCCTAAGATGCAAAATATCGAGTGGGTCCAAAATGGCTACAATACTCACTGTTTACTTACTAAGTAACCCGCTAGACGCACTACCATATCCATAAGTGCCGTAAGCTGCTCCATACTGACTGTATGCAGTACTATAAGCGTAATCAGTTCCCGGTACCATTGTGGTGCCTGCTGAAAATAATAATTAATTATTACTTAATTACTATAATAAATCGGTTATTAAAAAATCGCTATCGTATTTAACAAATGAATATTTTTATTGTAAAAGTAGTAAAGAAAATATAATTAATAATGCGAATGCGGGTGTCGAGATTATCTACACCGAAAAAATCAGTTGTCAATATCTGTCAATCCTCATGTTTATTTTGTTATTAAAGTCCCTATTATTAAATTGTTGTTATTATCATAAAACCGGCAAAAATATGTAGAATTGTACAGTAATAATTCTCTTTTGTGACATAGATTGATAAAAAATATTAATTTTAGATATTAAACTCTGAAACAACTTTTTTTTATATTAAATGATGTAGTTTTATGTCTTGGTAATTATCATGTAATTTGTTCTATAAGTACCATCGTCAAAAAAATAAAAAAAGTAATTTATCAAGGATCTGATTTTTTCTTAAAAATATTTAACATAATTTTGATTCATCGATGGTCTACTGATAAAAGCTTTAATAAAAATAATACGTAAAATAATTACGTCATTTTTATTTGCAAATGGGTGACTAAGTTCCAATAAAAAGAAAAGCTGCAAACAAACTGCAGTTAGTTTTTGTTTCGTTAATTTTTTGTATTTTTGGTACTATATTTGGTAAAAATATCAAACATTACTGTAACAATATGTCAGTATTTTCTTCTGGTAATCTATTAAATTATGTTATATCCACATAAATTTTTATAGATCTTATTTTCCAAAGATCATGTTGTTATCTGTTATCTTTTATTAACCTGTTTCAGGATTATACTAATATTGTCTTTTATTTTATTATTTATTATATAGTTGCGTTTCTATTTTACCCTCCTATGGGCTGATTTAATAATTATACATTATATTTATAATGTAATATATTAAATATATATATATATAATATATATATATATATATATATATATATATATATACATATATATATATTAATAATATATATATATATATATATATAATATATATATAATATATATATATATATATTATAATATATATATATATATATATATATATATATATATATATATAGACAAGGTAGTCCAAAATTTTTTTGACAAGTTTGGAAAAAATATGTAAATACTTTTTTCTTTTTGGGTGTGGTAGTCAATAAAAAATAGAGCTTTGCTAAAGCGTACTATTTATTCTGAAATCCGAGCTTTCGGTGGTTGTTTGCCACTTTTATCAAGGTCTACAATGAAAATTACTGTGTTATAAACTTAGGCTGATGTAATATAAAAGTTATAAAAACTTACCAGAAAGTAAGATTCATAGCATATAAAACACAACGTTAAATAACATAATGTGATCTGAATTACTGAAGGCATTAAAACTTAAAAATTTTAAAATAACTTAAAAACTAAAGTACATGTTACAAAGTTTAAAATGTAAAAAAATAAGACGACATGTTTGACAAAAACCGTCGTCTTCGCAGGTTTGAATTCAGTCACATCTCACGAACAGAAAGAGGCAGTAGAAGGAACTATTGTTGTTTAAATAGTTCGATGTAACTACAAAAAACAAACTTTCAAACTGATGTCTAACAAAATACCGTTTGTGATTTTAAGTACTACCAACCATGTTACCAACTTTAAATTGAGAGGGAAATTTAAAAAAAAGTTCATTATGTCAAACAATAAAAAGAAAATAGTATTTAGTAAGTAGGTTTAGAAAAACAAACTACCAAAAACAAAATAAACCATCTGAATAATAACTAAAGTTAATCATGATAATTATAGCAATTAATAATGGAATTTAAGAAACAAGACATGAAACACTCTGAGATGCAGAAGACCCTAGTCAAAAGTCAAAATAAAATTGTAAATTTTGCTAAGATTCTGGATCTCAGATCTTTTATTCGGATTGTTGTTATCACTCCTGCTGATATGTACCATTTCTAAGAATGTTCTCTTAAATTTATTTTTTTCTCTGGCTAATATTTAATATTTCAACAATGTAAAAATATTAGCCAGAGAGAAAAATAAATTTAAGAGAACATTCTTAGAAATGGTACATATCAACAGGAGTGATAACAACAATCTGAATAAAAGATCTGAGATGCAGAATCTTAGCAAAATTTACAATTTTATTTTGACTTTTGACTAGGGTCTTCTGCATCTCAGAGTGTTTTATGTCTTGTTTCTTAAATTCCATTATTAATTGCTATAATTATCATGATTAACTTTAGTTATTATTCAGATGGATCATTTTGTTTTTGGTTGTTTGTTTTTCTAAACCTACTTACTAAATACTATTTTCTTTTTATTGTTTGACATAATGAACTTTTTTTTAAATTTCCCTCTCAATTTAAAGTTAGTAACATGGTTGGTAGTACTTAAATTCACAAACGGTATTTTGTTAGACATCAGTTTGAAAGTTTGTTTTTTGTAGTTACATCGAACTATTTAAACAACAATAGTTCCTCGTACTGCCTCTTTCTGTTCGTGAGATGTGACTGAATTCAAACTTGCGAAGACGACGGTTTTTGTCAAACATGTCGTCTTATTTTTTTACATTTTAAACTTTGTAACATGTTCTTTAGTTTTTAAGTTATTTTAAAATTTTTAAGTTTTAATGCCTTCAGTAATTCAGATCACATTATGTTATTTAACGTTGTGTTTTATATGCTATGAATATTACTTTCTGGTAAGTTTTTATAACTTTTATATTACATCAGCCTAAGTTTATAACACAGTAATTTTCATTGTAGACCTTGATAAAGGTGGCAAACAACCACCGAAAGCTCGGATTTCAGAATAAATAGTACGCCTTAGCAAAGCTCTCTCTCTCTCTCTCTCTCTCTATATATATATATATATATATATATATATATATATATATATATATATATATATATATATATATATATATATATATATATATATATATATATATATATATACAGTTTTCGCCTTTTGTTCTTAAATTTAAAGAAAAATCTCCTTGGTATAACGAAATTATGAAGCCTTGTTAGTATAATCTCGATCTGAATATTCTCATTACCTGTGGTTGAATACCCAAAATTTGGTAACATCGTCGTATAATGTTGGGAAGCTCCATTGGACGGTTGAAGAACGGTCAAAGCAGCAGGGTCAGGAGACCCAGTATGCGATGCGGGTTGACTTCCGGATTCTGCGGGTAATGCGAGCGGTAATCCTGGTGATGAACCGTCCACAGCGGCACCCAGACCGACAACGCCATTGTACGGGGAACTAGTTTCAGCTAAGCATGCAATAACAAAAGGAAATTAGCACAAAAAACACAAAACAAAATTAAAATAAACAAAATAAAAACTGTAATGGCAAATCATGCTTTTACAAATTTTTAACTCTACTAAAATATTTTAAAAAATCATAAAAGAATCTACCAAGAATCTTGAACTTACTAGAACTTTATTCTATTAATCGATAAATTATTATTTTATTTTGTTGGGTTTTTTATTTGATCGGGAATACGGCAGTCAAAAGTCAAATCAAATTATGATTTTTACCTATACGTGATCAATTATCTTTTTCATCAGCTTTTGAAGCTGAAACTTCTGAAGCATTTTAATATTTCGAATTGTACTTCGGAAAATATTTCTCCAAACAAAAATTAAACAAATAATTTGGTTATTTGCACTTTAATAAGACTTTCAAAGTAAAAATCTAATCTTAAAATAAACCAAATTTAAACTGAGACTGTGATTAATTTCCAATAAAGATGGTAAATAATTTTCCACACGTTTTCCTCATTTGCGCTAGTATCATGAAGTCTGTTTGTTATATACTATTTGCTTTCTTTCTTTGTTTTATGCTATGTCACCATAGCTCAAAATCACAAAGAAATACAAAAATTCAATTTCAGTTAACAATATTCTATATATATATATATATATATATATATATATATATATATATATATATATATATATATATATATATATATATATATATATATGTATATAATAATAATATCGTTTTAGCAATTTTAGAATCTTTATAAACAATTCTAAACAATTTTATTATTAATATTAAATTATTAAATTTATTGAATACCTATAAATAATTATATTTAAATGAATATAATTATCATTAAATTGTATGATATACCACTGTCCATTAAGTTTGTTGTGTTTGTAATTTTTTATTTCCCACAAGTGCTAATCAATTGTTGTTCTTATTACGAACAAATAACACCAAATTGTTTTTTTATTAAAGTATCCACTTGTTGTTAAATTTAAATTACAAGTTATAGTATATCAATGTATATTTTCAGACGAAATCACAAGGTATTTAGTTATCAAATGGCAATAAACAAACCGAAAAATATCAAGTTTACAAAAATGCTCATGAAAAATGCTTAGAATATGTAGTGTTTTAATGTATATAGTACATTTTTATTTAGTATTACTCAGTAACAATAAACAACTACTATGCGTCGCCGCTCAGCAGCAGCAATTAAAAGTTACTTTGATAACGACAAAACATTAATCATCAGTACTTGTTTCAAGTTTTGCCAACATACTTTCTAATTAGTTTAAATTTAAAAAAATTACCGAAATAGCAAAAAATTGAATATATCGGAGATGGAACCGAAATTAACAGTAGTACCTTGAAGATAATAGGAAGTGATTTGCACATGGAGTGAAATGCACATGGAGAATTAGACTTATGAAACTGGAAGTGAAGTTGGCCCCGAAACTAGTAGTAGTAGCAGATATGACGATTGTTTATATAGGTAAAAAAAAAGAGCCAATTACACTAAAATTATGAGTTATACGCATTATATCATATACAGACTAAAAAAAAAATTACTGTTAAATGACTATTTTTTAACAATAATAGAAGATGTACGTCAAAATAAGGTAAATTTTAGCAAGACTTAAGCTACTAATTTAAAGTTGCTTGCGCTGGACATTAAAGAATAAAACGAAAACTCAAAAATAATGTGTTGTTAGGTCAAAAATAGACAAACAATGAGTCAGAAAAAACGTACTACTATTATTAGAAATACTGTAATTTGAATATTAGCATAATAAATTCTCAGACAAGGAAGTCAAAAATAAGGAGTTCTTGTGGTGCATAAACCATATCCAAGAAAAATAAAAGAAAAACGTAAATTATATAAAGAACGACAAAAAATAAATTTGGCACCGATTTTAAAAAATACGGCCCTGCCAAAAATGTTATCAGAAAGGTATGAAAATCATAAATTGACAGTTTATTGAACGAAGAATTTTACAGAGAAGCAGTGGAAAGAATGAAGAAAGTAAAAACAGTGTTGGCAAAATAAACAAGAAAATTACTCAAACCGTTTAAAAAATAAAGAAGACTAATGCAGTTTAAACAGATGGTATCCTCGGAGAAATCTGGAGAGCGTTAAGACTGACAAACACAATTTCATAAGATTTTTTAATAGAATTGTGGAAGTGTATTTACTACAAGGTTACCGGAGAAGCAGTTTCATAATACATGTATAAAGAGAAAAGAAATATTTAATAAGGTACAATTAAAGAGCCATTAATCTAATTACTCACATCATCAAAATATGGAAAAGAGTGATTGATACACAGATACGAAAATGAAATACATACCAACATTCAATTTGGATTTATGCAGACAAAAAAAAGAGATATAGTTTTCATTAATGGGCAGCTTGTGGAAAAATATATGGGTAACGAAATAAATGTTCGTATGGTATTTATTCTGTGATCTTGTAAAAGCTATACGAAGGAAAAAAAAGTAGTACGCGTTGAGAATGTAAGTGCGCAAGAGACATATTTGATGAAGTACAAACCTCTATTAGGACAAAATGGGGAGGTGTGGATAAATTAATGTTAAAGTTAAATATCATCAGGGTTATGACGGTATTCATTTATTCTTATTACTCTTTATGACATATTGACTAGTGGATTGGTATCAGATAATAGGAAAATTCCAAATTTCGGTGAAATTTGTTGGTGATTAGTATATGCTGATTACAAAATGTTGATAGAAATACAAAAAGGAGAAGATAAACGGTAAAACTGGTTAATATAGGATTTAGAACTGAGTATGTTAAAATGAATAAGGTGAAACACTAGAATTAAGAATTAAATGTATTAGGAGAAGTTAAGGGATAGTAATGCTAAATTAAGAGAATGCAGGTAAGATAATAAGGTACGTACAACGTCGAAACAATAATTACCCAAGACAAAGAAGTTTATGAAAGAAGTAATAGTGACTGAACTAGCTGTAATACCATGAAGCAGAAGTAGATATAAACCACTGTACGATTATCTAGAAGCTAACTACTAAGCAAATATCAACGAAGTAACGAAACAAATTATTTTCAAACTGATGATAACTATACAGCAATCATTGTCATTAATGTCACATGATACGAATAATCTATGTTTAAGGGATGGATTGCGTTTATTTGAAACACAAACTTTTAGTTGTATCGATGGTTGACTTAAATTGATATCTTATAATAGCAAAACAATGGAATGAAACAATCTTCAAGTGTAGTTTAATTACTAATACAAACATTACGCAAAGTTATGCAAATATTTTGAACTTGACGTCAATGGCGTGGAAAAAATTAAACAATCAAATGGACACCACTTAATTTGCACATGAATTTCCAAGATCATATATTATTACTACGTTTTTTTACAACGATAAATCTATACAAAAACAAAGCACATGGGAAACCTCCAACAAACTGGAGGTAGCAGAATTGTTGATAACTAATGAGATATTATCTGGCTAATTAGTAAACTCAATGCCATATGATGTAAGCAAAAACAAGCAATTTAATCTACAAAACAATAGCTAGATGTGAACATGCAAAAATAGGTGTAAACCACATGCAAGTGTCGAATAATACAGAGGCGTGTCGTATCTGGATGGTTGCGAATTTTTATTTCTGATTTTTTTATGTTTCATTTTAAATTTTATGTTACATATAAAAACACATTAAAATTATTCTTGTTAAACAACCATGCATATTTGGGACGTTTTTTTTATATATGCAGAAGTTTTCAATTTTGAATAACACCGTGAAGTTTATTTCTTCAGTTTGCTATGTGATGAAACCTTTAACGGCTATACGTTAATTGGGTTTAACAGGACATACTTAATATTTAAACAGCATTATTTTTTAAATTTTAGTACTGTCTACGCATATTTTTCTGAATTGGTTTTTACTTGACTTTATTTTCGTCATCTTGATCATTTTTGCTAAGCTTTGATTCGTAGTTTCTTATTATTTAGAAGAACATATGGTAGTTTATATCACACATTTATTTACTAGTAACAACATGTATGCGAATTCCTCAATAACGTCCCCATTTTAGCCAAATATGTTCCTTTACACCTATTATTTTAGGTTTAAACATAATCCGTTGACATTACAGACTAGTTCGGAAAAAAATGTTGGGCTTGGAATTTGGAGTGAAATTCATTTATTTTTGTTATCGTTGTTTATTTACTTTAATTTTTTTTAGTTATTTAAAATTCATTTTTAAAATGCATCAATATAATAGTTGTTATTTTTTTCGGCTATATTACAACGTTTACAACAACAAGGTAAGAGTTAAAACGGGCAAAAAATACTTCAACGAATTTAACACCAAAAAATGCTTATTGAAGGGCTACACTGTTTAAGATATTCCTCGAACAAATATTAAAACCATGGAAGGGGAAATGTGAAGGGATGGGAATACCAATCCGGGACAACTTCTTGTACACATTAAGCTTTGAAGATGAACAAGTGGTAACGGCTCAAGATGAGGAAGATTTGTGCTATATGCTCCGAAAATTAGAAAAGGAATACACAAAAAATGGACTGGAAATAAACCTAGAAAAGACCGAATATTTCCGAAATGAAACCATCGAGCAAGAGATAACCAGCAGATTAGCACAGACAAGAACATGTAATAAACAAATGAACGGGGTACTGTGGGATTGACAGATTACCAGAAATACAAAAAAGATAATTTATAACACCTTGGTCCACAATGACCTATGGAGCAGAGAATTGGGTAATAAATAAACAAAACAGGTCTAAAATCACGGCAACTGAAATGGAGTTCATGAGAAGAAGCTGCAGAGTGACATAAATAGATCGCATTAGAAACGAGCAGATAAAACGAAGACTGGCAGTAGAGCAAGACATACTCAGCTACATCGAAGAAAAACGTTTAATTTGGTATAGACATGTGAGAAGAACAGATCATACAAGGTGGATAGCAAAAATTTCGGATTGGAGCCCAATAGGAAGGAGCAAAAGAGGTAGACTCCGAGGATCATAAAGGGATGGAGATGGAGAGATGGATGGAGGATGGAGAGATAGAGATGGAGAATGGCAGACCAGAAAGGAATTGAGACATTGGTTGAAAGAAGGAAGGCAGTTGTAAAAATCCTTATATAGATAGATATTATAAAACCGATACATAAAGACATTTTGAGCATTAAAAGGTACCAAAGTTAAAATATATCCTTTGGACTGCTTTGCAACTGTCCATTTTAGTGACTACCGATTTGAGTTTCTTGTTAAGAGTTTACACTAGCGCAGAGAACAGAACATGTTATATCTATAATCACAGATTTTTGCAAAAACAACAGTTTATTAAAGTTAGCATACTCTTAACCATTCCGATGGAACAGAATGCAAATAAACATTGTTTTGACTGAACAGTATTTTTACTAACACAAAGCAATGAATTTTGTACGGTGATAAACATTACATGACATTCATATTTTTTTAGTTTTTTCAGAATTGGAAAAGTAATGTCACTGGTTAACTGTTTCAATTGGGCTAAAATTTTGACAGATTTCGTTAATATGTCTAAATAGTTATTTGTTTCAGTGGCGCACTCCATATGGTGAGATCTGGAACTTTGTGTGATATGCTAGTAAATTATTAACAAATCTGTGAATATTATGTGGCTTTAAAAGTATATTAAAAGGTTCCTGTGTTTCCAAATATCATATCTTGTGATTTCTTAAAATAGCTTTGAAATATGTATGCAAGTATCTAGATGTATATCCATATAAATATTGTCAAGAGTCAAGTGCTATGAAGCGTTACTTTAATGATATAGAAGTATATTGATGTGTCCCTATATATCAAGTATCAAGGAGAAGCATAAGCACCTGTTCGTATAAATTATCATTACATGGTACTCTACTAATAACATTATGGCATAATACTAAAGTTTAGATAACTCTAGGAATTTATTTTATGCTTTTCTGTGCTCTATTACTAAGAGTTCCCCTGTTAATAACCGCAACCACCTGTAACCTTCCACCATTCAAAAGAACCCTCGTTTTCCTTATCAGTACTTACCGGAATGATAAGGAGACATTGATGGATCCATTATCCTGCTAGTTTCAATTTTCATTTCGTGCATTGTTATTGGCGCCAAAGGAGTTAACGAATTCGAACCTAACAGTTATGTAGGATTAATAACAACGAACATATTGACCAACATGTTTCCACCACCATTCTGAACCCATTAATTAGTGTTATAAAACAATTCATATTTTATTATTTGCTCTTAGTTTTTTTTTTAACGAAAAACATAACTTCGTAAGACCTCTAGAATAAACATAGTTGTAATAAAGCTACACATTTACAATTAAAATGCTATTCTGTAAGTAGCTAAATAAATTGTTTCTATAATTTAGCATAAAACAATAAAGGCAATATCCATTTATGGATATCGAGGTTTAAATATAAATAGTGCAATAAGGCGAATTCAGTAAGTTATTAATGATCATAAGACGGAACATCAGGGATAGAATGAGTTTTAAAATATTAAAGCCCTTTTATACTAGTTAGATGTGACAACTGACACATTTTACAAGAAATAGCAGAACAGTTTATTATTGTATGAAAATAATTACATTTGGTATTTTTAAATAATTTGTAAAAGGATAATTTTACAAGATCAAAGTTGTGGGAAGCCTTAAAAGATCTAAACGTTGATCGGAACAAGTATTATTAATTGTAGCAGTATATAGGTAACACCGTATAAATAAAAAAGGATTGATACTTTCACAATCTATTAGTATAACAACGGGATTGAATATTGAAGACAGGGTTGAAGCAATTCCTTTCTTTATTAATTATGTATGTAGGAACTGTGCTTAAAATTTTAAAAGTGATCTGGTGAAATTGGAATACCTATAAATAACAACAATACGTATAAGTTTTCTAGACAATTATGTTATATTAGCCCAAGACTAATATAAGATAGAATTAAAGGTGAATATAAAAAATTGGGATTGTGGATAAGTCTAAAGAAAACAAAATACTTGGTAGTAAACAGCGACGTGCTACATTTTAAGTGCTGGTTAACGATGACATGAATATAAATCAAGTTGAGAAATTGAAATCGGAACATGTTTTGATAGTTACATGTGATTAGGAGAAACAGAAATAAAATAGAACTTAACAAAGTAGGAAAAACTGAATTGATTGTGGTAGCATAAAAATATCTAAAATCAAAATAAGACAACAGTGGGTAAAGCCATGGTGTCATAAGTTTTTAACTATGGGCCAAAGGTGTGGACTGTTTATGAAGATTTAAAAAGAAGGCTTTAAGAGATATATTTAGACCGAAAAGAAAATCGTCCTTGAAGTGCTTTGGGTATTTTAAGAATGCCTGACCAGTGATGGCCTATAATAATATTTTATTAGAGACCACCAAGAAAAGGAAAACGGGATTGACTATATAGACCATAGAACGCGAACAATAAAAGAAAAGAAGATGCTGGATAGATATAATTGGAAATTATGGGAATGCGGCTAGATACTGTTAAGGTTTATTAATAGTTAATAGATGCTGTACTGGTAGTTTATAACACATTAAAAATATTTTTGTTTATAATATATTTGATCATATCTTCTTTATACTATGTTAATATTTTGGCTTAATATATTTTGATTGACTACCATCACTGCAACTGTGATTCGCAGAAAAATTTGAATGTTTCATGTCAATGATAATCTCTGAGTCAATACACCACATCACAAGTTTATCTTCTTTTCCTTATCTAATTTAAGCAATAATTTATACTTTTTTCTTGTTTATTGTGGGTCTTGTACAGGGTGCGTTACGTAAACCACACATTAGAATTTTCCAAAAAAGAAAACGGATTGGCAATATAAAAATTTAATGTAAAGATATTTACAGTTTACTGCCGCTTTAGATAATACTAAAAGTCTGATTGTGAACCTATTTAATTTCTAAGTTTTTATATTATCTACGGTAGCTAGTTGAAATTAATTACAATTTTAATTGAATTTATATTCAATCTCGATCAAACATTTTTTATTGGAGACGGTCGCATAAATAAATTTTTAAACAAATACATTTAGTAACCAGTTTTTGTTCGAAAGTATATCGTTAAATAGTAATTAGTAATATTAATTATAAGTGTTTCCTAAAAACGAAAATAAAATAACACAAATAATCTTGCTTAAAAACACCGGCAAATAAATTCATAGGCGTCCTATAAACCTATACTGGGGTCAAACAGCAAGAGCAAAAATTGGCAACGAACTCACTGAAAGCGTGCAGATCAAAAGGGGTGTCCGTCAGGGGTGTATATTGTCCCCACTCCTATTCAATATGTATTTCGAGGAAATATTTAACAAATGTATGGAAAATGCAAATGAGGGCATTAAAATAAACGGCGAGTTAACGAACAATATAAGATACGCCGACGACACGGTGATCCTTGCCAGTACCATAGACGAATTACAACAAGTAATGGAAAGACTTTATTCAGTTAGTGAGGAATACGGCCTGAGCCTCAACTTCAAGAAGACAAAGTGGATGCTGATAAGCAAAAAGCAACAACCTGCTCGACAATTACGGATAAGTAACATATTAATTGACCATGTAGAATCTTATGTGTACCTTGGCACCAACGTAAATGCAAAATGGGAACAGACCATAGAAATTAAGGCGAGAATAGAACGAGCTAGAGCAGCATTTAGTAATATGAAAAAGCTCCTCATAAGCAAGGATTTGTCTCTTCCCCTAAAACTACGTATAGTTAAATGCTACATTTTTCCGATCTTGCTGTATAGCGTGGAGGCCTGGACGCTGACGGAGACGCTAACGAGAAAACTAGAAGCATTCGAAATGTGGGTGTACCGACGCATTCTTCGTATATCCTGGACCGAACATGTCACCAACATAGAGGTACTCCAAAGAATCGGAAAGGAGAAAGAAATCGTGAATACAATTCAACAAAAAAAGCTTGAATATCTAGGCCACATATTGAGACACGATAAGTACCGTCTGCTACAATTGATTGTCCAGGGAAAAATAGACAGTAAGCGAGGGCCAGGCAGGAGAAGACACTCGTGGCTCCAAAATCTGCGGAAGTGGTTCGGGCTCACATCGGTCGAACTATTCAGAAGCGCCGCAAACAAGATCAAAATTGCCATGTTAATAGCCAACGTTCGCAACGGACAGGGCACTTGAAGAAGAAGAAGAAGTCCTATAAACAATTTTTGTGATGTATAAAATATTTAATTGTGATACAGAATCAACGACAATGTGCATACCCTAAAGGACATGAACGGAAGAAATTACCACTACCTCACAAATAAGTACCATGCAACAACCATCAATAAATATATATCAATAATCCATAAGATAGCCCTGAAAATCAAGAGCAAGATTGAGAAACTATTTAATCCCGCAAAAGAGCAAGAAATGACAGTCCTAAGGACAATAAACAACTAAAACGAACAATAACAAGCGACTACTGGCTTAAAGCACCTACACTGACGTCTAATAGATTAGCTAGTTTTTTTGAAGTACCTGATGAGACCAACCCAACCGGATCTGGTAAAGATAAAAAAGGTATTCAAACCCCACCCATATGCGTAACAGACGTAGGTGATATATGACCTATTAGACATTTGTTAAAAACAATATTCCCACTGAGATACTTCATTAAATGTCTTTATATTGACCAATTAAAAATCCAACCGACAATCTTTGAACATTACCAAAACCTAACCAAAGCACTCAAAGACAAAAACACCCACTATTATATTTACCAAACAAAGGAAGAAAAAACATTTCGAATGGTGTTGCGTAATATGCATCAAACAGCATATAAACATGCTTTAAAAAGTGAGTTAGGAAAATGGGACAAGAAGTAACTAAGCTAATATATAAGGATGGGTTCAAAACTGTTATTCTACTTTTTTATGTAGAACTAAAAACAAAATCAAATATATATATATATATATATATATATATATATATATATATATATATATATGAAGTAAGAGTACTACAAAACATGATTGTATCCTTTGAAGCACCACACCCCAAGCGTCAGGTACACCAATGTACAACGCTACGGCCAACGCTACGTACAATTGTCAACGCTACGGCTACACAAAAAAATCTGTCACTTGTCTGCAAGATGCGTAAAGTGTGCCAGTAATCATAATACTTTGAATTATCTACGTATGAACTTTGTATGGGAAACCATACGGTCAACCAGAAGGGCTACAGCGTATACAAGCAAATACAAAAAGAAAAATTCCCATAGCTTAAGAAGAAACCAAATGCCCATAGAACAGGCACCAAGGAAACTAGCAATCAAACAGTAATCCCTGGTGTTCCTTATGATCAAAAAACTTTAGAAAACAGTCAAACGACTGAAATCACACACCAACAAAGTGGTGTCGGATCAGAGCAAACCATTTAATATTACCACACGTGTTATCTAAATTGTTGTTAGCTTAGTTATTTAGGATATATTATTTAAATCTTTTGTGTTCTCATAACATGTTATTTTGGCTACCACAAAAAATTCGTTAATTGCTTTACTTCACTTTCAAAATGGAAAGCCGATCCCACTAGGTTGTTCATGTATTCCTTTGTTTTGGAAACTATAGCTGTGTACTATGTCGCTTTTATTTCCACGTGTGATTAAGTCGTGGGACATTCAGTTAGAGAAATGACGTTGCCTTCTGTGAAGAATGTAACAATCCATTAACTTGTTATACTGCTTTTGTTTCTTGTTAAAGATGTTAAAATACTAACAAACATCAGAACATTTTTTAAGTACAATATACAATACACCATAAAGAACAGGGAACGTTGATTTTGTCTTTGTGCATTAACGTGAAGATTTTGAGATTGATCAATGTAACTTTTATTAAAAACATTTGTTTTAAATTAGCTTAATCAGATTTAATGGTTATGATTTTAAAATAATCTACGTTTTTGCTAACGAAAAATACTTACTACATTTGCAAAACACTAAGTTACTTCAATAAATATTATTTACTTTATATTCTGTATACACTCAAAGTATGTACCCACATAAATTAAGTGCAAATGCTAATGCTATTGGCTTGATAGGGATAATAATAAATTGAGTTACAGAAATGCCATTACAGTAAAGAACTTCTAGATGAGACAGAGAGTTGGCTAACAGGTTTTAATCATAGTTTTAGAAGTGAAACGAATGCCAGACGAATGGCGAAGCAGTATTTTAGTACCTGTGAGGTAGTGCTGGGTTTCCGGAAATCCACATTAGAACCATGATTAACCAGTTGGGTCTTAAAACGAACCCCAAACTCTTCATAGCTCTGATGCAGCCGGGACCAGTTAAATTCCACACCTTACTTACAGAGGCATCAGGTTGGAACCGTCGGCTAGGAAATAAGTTCGTCCTAATATCCTTTATTTGACATGGTTCCCATACGTTCGTTTACAATAATATTTATATCTAGCTCTCGAGTAATCACTATAGAAACCGCTACGACCAAGTCATAGTCTACACCCATCCTTACATTTCACAAAACCTCGCCTTCATTACTATAATATTCCCATCGCGCTCTTGTCTCCAATAGTGATAGAAGCACGTCCTCGACTTACACAGGCACACCTCTCATATTAGCACACTTTCCTTGATCAAACCTTACATTTAATATTACTCATTGAGTCCTGTTCCGCAATCACCTTTAGCACTTGTTCTGATTTAACTTTCTCTCCTCCCGCTCCTTAGTAGACATAACCCCATTTTCATACACTCGTGAATTGTTGCCTACCACCTTTCATCAGAAATCATATTTTCCACCACACCTCTCACCGCTTTGCACCTGAACCCAAGCATTTTCTCTAACACACTTCACTCTCTGGTTAATCAGCGACTTGCCAACATTTTATGTGAATAGAGATAGAGAGCCAGAAAACTAGTTAGTTATACCATGAAAATGTAGGAGAGAGTATCTGATAGACGGATACATGAAGAATTTAAAAATTAAAAGTTTAAATTTATTAAGGCAGATTAAAAATAGATGAAATTTTTAATATAAGGTAGCTAATAGAAATACAGAAACAAACACTGTCTGATCTTCATTGATCTTAAAAAGTATATGATAGAGTTAATCGGGAGGTTCTGTAGTAGGCACTAAATACGAAAGGTTGATTAACGTTGTGGAAAGGGATATAACTCCTAGCATTAGGGGAGGTGTGGTAGAGATAGTTAAATTTGAAAAAGATTGATGAAAATAAATAAAGGCTTAGGCTTTTCAAGGGACGCTTACATTGACAAATTTTTAATTTTGATGATGATGATTTATCGGCACAAGTCACCAAAAATATTATCTTTTATTAGTATCTATACATTATTTATCTAGAACAAAAACTTCCAATAACTAAACTAAAATTCCCCTAAATCATTAACCATTATTTAATTTTAAATAAAACACATGCGGATCCTAAATAGAACACGTAAAAAGTATATTGGAGAAAAATACAGAAATTAATTCATTAATAAATTAACTTGAGTAATATTTTTAATATATAAATTAAGGAATAATTATCCTTTTGAATTCAAATACATATCGAAAATCTTTTATAGCATTTTATCTTAGGCTAAGTTAAATTAATGTATGTAGTTCCAACTCTAATTTTATATTTTTACTTAGTACCTATCATTCGTCTTTATAATTGGTATGCATTTCAGCTTAATATGAATAAATCAAAATTAAAATACCATATTTTCTTTATAATTGAACTAATCACAACTAAATATTAAAAAATAAAACAAGATCGAATATTAAGTTTGTGTATATTTAATTTTTATATTGCCAAAGTAGGTTGAGAACTACTCAGTAAATTAGAATATAAAAAATAAGAATCGAATATAGGAAATGATTAAGTAATTATGAATACAATTTTTATTCCAGTACGGAAAATCCTAATCAGCGTATATAATTAAATACGAATAACATACATGTAGTATACGAATAAATTATAATTTTTAATAATATCGGTTATTACAAAGCAAAATATTGTGTTTAGTATTTAATAAGATCTTCGTAAGCTAAATATAACATAACAATGTTCTAAGTGTAAGTAGGATGTAGAAAATATATTATTCGATTTTAATTGGGAATTGTGTGTTTACCGAACTTAATGATATATTTATACTACTTGACATTTTTTTACAAAATACTCCCATCGGTTCAGTAGAAATACTTGTCTGAAGAAGTTATGGTTACATGGCCAAAGCTATAACTTTTACATATCCACTATTGATTAAGAGTGTACAAAATAAATTTATAAGTAAAATAAAAGGCAAAAACTAAAAATTCGATACTCGGTTTTTAAAACATATATAAAAAAATATATATATAACAAAGCAAATAATAAATTTTATATATACACATTGTGAAAAAAAAAACAAATACTAATAACATTTTTTATTATTATTTAGGTTCTTTCCTTTTCTTTAATTGGTTAAAAAATGTAGCAAATAAGATAAACGAAAATAAAAATATTGACCTGTAACCATTGTCGACCAAATAACAGCTCCATAGAATTACAAAAAAAAAGAAATTTTAAAATAGCATTTGCTAATTGTTTAGGAAAAAAGTTTCTTTTTAACTAGCTAAATAGTAAAAGAGTTTTAACTAGTCCAAGTTGTTTTCGTTTATTGAAGATGTGGTTTCTCCAAGACGACTTACTTGGAGAAACCACATCTTCAATAAACGAAAACAATTCGAACTAAAATTAATACAACTTTACTGGCTACTTGGAAGAAGATCTGAACTCTCACCAGAAAAGAAATTATTAATGTATAAAGTAATTCTAAAACCCATCTGGATCTATGGCATTCCTATGGCATGACAGGTGTGCATGTGTTCCAATCGAAGGTTATTAGACAGATTGTTACTGCACTATACTACGCTTCTAATGAAGTCATACATCGTGATCTCTCAGTGAGATTGCGCGAAGAAATAAAAAAAGTGTAGTGATAGGCATTTAAAGCGGTTAGAAATTCACCCAAATTCTAGTGCGGTAAACCTACAGGACAACAGCAGGGAAGTGAGAAGACTAAAGAGACACAAACTCTTGGACTTACCAGATAGATTTTCATAAGTAAATTGTTTAGAATATAAGAATTTTTTTTTTAATATTAATTTAAGTTAAATTTAATAAGGAAGGTAACAGCACTGGTAGGTATTCTTCTTCACTCATATTAATTTTTCTGTTTAAATTATTAAATTTGATTATTGTCCAAACAGGACAGATTGCAAATGTTTACTTGGAAAATAAAAAAATCTAGCTAAATGATAAATAACAATAGAAAAAAAGAAGTTAAGGAAGAAACATTAAGTCTTATAACTGCTGAAAAGAAATAACATTCAAGACCAACATTCAAGACATTCAACACTAACACAAGAAATAAGTAAAATGGCAACGAAAAATAGAAGAAAACACAACTAGAAATTTATAACAGTGTTAAATAATATATTTAAATATTTAAAAGTAAAGAAAACTTCATCGATCTGTAAGAAAATATAAACAAACAAAAAATAGAAAGCAGAGAAACAAATAACAGAATAAATAAAGGTAGTATAGTGCAGGGGCGATGATGAAAATGTTACAATCACAGACGTTACAAAGAATAGTAAAATAAACACTATATAGAACTGCTATTAAACCATTTAAGCTTTATGGTTGTGAATTTTGGACACTAAAGAAATCAAAAATACAATGCATAAAAAACCATAGAGGAGAAAAAAATAATAGAGTTAACAGTAGAAAAGAAAGTTATTGTAAAGAATAATATTATGTAAAGGAAAAAAATTTAATAAATGGGTAAGAAGGACAAATAAAGAGATAATATAATCGCGATAGTCCATATATCACAGACTAAAATCTAAAGAATACGACGTCTGAAACCTATGTAAATGCTTCTTAAAAAACAAGAAGAAAATGTTAAAAAGAAACTACTGTTTAAAGGGCGACATACGAAGCAATCGTTAGATACGGTAGAAGACGAGTACTTAACAGAAGAGACTGGGAAACTAAATCTCTTATCCAAATTAGAGACTAATATTATCCAATACAAATTATTAATAATTTGCAAGTTCTTGGGGAGAGTAGGAAAGACTAAAGAAGACTTGCAGGAGAAGTTTAGACAGGGCATGTTAGTAAAGGGGATTGATATTCGTATGATCTAAGATACATATTTATGGAGAAATGTAGTAAGAGAAACCGATTCCGCATACAGCGGATAAAGACAAAGATATGATAATAGATGATAGATAAACAATACAATTTCTTAACTAATTTAACTTTTTTTTAATAGACACGTGGTCTAAGATATGATAAATAATATAATTAAAATTTGTTAAATTAAACAATATGCTTCTAAACAATACACATAATTTTTTCAAATAAAAAACATATCATTCTAGTTCAAAGATGTTTTCATAGTACAGAACTTCGTGAACATGCATTTTAAGACACACTTATACTCCTGTTTACCTTTTATGATTCTAATTCTTCGTATTACTGTACGTTCTTTTATACAATATTTTTGGTGTGAAATAATTTTCTTACAATCTGATTTATCGATATCTATATTACTTTTCTTTAGTTTAAAGTGCATTAGTTTTTTTAATTTTATTACAAGTACATATAGCTTATACAATGTATGCCACAATTTAGTTAAACAGATCACTATTAAAATACATAAATAAACCCTCACCTAATGAGCCCGCCAAAGGAGGTGTGTATAGATTCTGGGATGTTGCTTGGCTCATCGTGTTGATGGTGTCATAAATGTCTGATGCGGAGCTGACGTTACCGACACCTCCAAAGCCTGCGTGTGTGTCGTAATAGCCCGTTTGACCTGTGGTCGTACCAGCTCCGCCTAATTCTGACAGTAACTTGTGTTCATCTTTTATATTCCATTTTCCTGGCGTCCAAAGCTAAAATGGATAAATAAATTATTTATTGAAATATAATATATATGTTCCATATATATATATATATATATATATATCTGTACCGTAGAGGTAAAGGGTAGTAACTCCATTTTTTTCTAATTTAGACTTAATACTTTGGCTAAGCTTAAAATGTTCCAATCTTATTTGTGGCAAAAGATGGTATGTGAAGTATTACTGGTGGCCTAGATATTCTTATAAGAAAAAGTAGTATATCCTTTGGAGAACGAGGTAAAGCATAGTAACTCCATCCGCTGTCGGATTTGTTTATCGAGCATGCTACTTCGCGCGCGGTAAACAGCAGTATCTCCACACAAGTGTTAGTCACCTTGATTGACAGAGCGTTTTACTTGATAGATAGTTGACAGTTACAAAAAATAAAAGCAGAAATGAATTCCAAAGACTCTAAAACTTTGGCAAATTTAAAAAACATGGTTGGATCGAGGATATGTGCGATTGTGGAAAAAGCAAAAGCTGAAAATTTGACCGTAGACGGTAAGTGAGGTTAAGTTTTAATTTTTATATAATCTTATAACTAGGAAATTGTTAACATGTTCTAAAAATGTTGGTTTGTCACGTTTTATATAGTAGGTGTTTACTTGTTCTTGCTCTTTAGAGTCTTTAGTAGTTTGGGCATTTGAAAATATTGCTGTTGTAAGAGTTTTGACCGGTAGATATTATGTTGTTTTATTCACTGCCCAATTTTCAGATGCATAAGTACATTTATTGCTCCTTCTTTATAGTAATTGAAATTCTTAATCTTCAACAACTATTTATAAAATCTAATACTAATACAAAATTAACATAACCATTAAGGGGAAAAGGACAAAAATGCAAAATTTTGACGCCTGTCAAAATTTTCTATGTATTTTAAATGTTATCATTTTTTTCGAATCGTGAGAAAACTAATAAGTATTTTTAAAAAATTTAAACGCAAAATGAAGTCCCTTAGAATGAATAAAAAGTTTGTTTTGAATGAGATATTTCAAATTCAAAATCACACTACATTTTCTCTTAGTTTTTCACCCCTGTAACTTATTAAAATAAACATTATAGAAGTTTTCAGGGACTTTCGTCTCTCGGTAATAACGTAATCTTCCATTCTGAGTTTAAATTTTTCAGAAATACTTATTAGTTTTCTCAGAATTCGAAAAAAAATTAATCCCATTTAAATATCATTGAAGTCGAAAGTTCGTACCCATCCCCTTAAGTAGTATTTTTTGTAGTAAGTGGTATTATCTTTCTAAGAAAACATCAACCTGCAAAATACTGAACTTGCTGCTTTTTTTGAGAATCACACAACAATGCCTCTAATCCATTTTTTGCTTTATTCTGTGTGTTGTTCTGAAGCTATTTTCTTGTGGTATCTTATGTAATTTATTATTTTAAATGGGAATAAAGCCACAATTTATTTTTAAATAAATTCATTTGAAAATAAATTGTGGCTTTATTCCCATTTAAAATAATAAATTATTCTGTGTACTGTTAACAGTTCGACAGATAGAGAAGATTAAATAAAAATAAATTTTTTTATTTACAGAATCGACGAACGCCTCTGATATTGCTCAAGCTTCAACAAGCCGTGCTCAAAATTGCAATTATTTGTCTAATTTAACTGAAGAATGTGTTAGCGATGATGATAGCATAAAAGACCCCGATTACACGGACGATGATGGAGAAAATATGGACAGCAGTAACAATAGCTACAGTAGCAATTATTTGGGAGACAATAATGGTGAATTGGAAGCAGATGATGATGAAGATGTTCAACTTGATAAAAACGTGACTGAAAATGAAACGGAAACTGATGACCAAATCAAAAAGAAAAGACGTTATAAGAAACCAGAAACTTGGAAAGTAACAAAAAGAGTAGAGGCAACATTAGGAGGAAAGGAACACATCAATAAATCAGGTAAAATTATAAAAGCTAAAGCAATGAAGCCCCCTTGCCCTCCTTGTCGACTAAAATGTTCAGAAAAAATAGCAGAAGCTGTAAGACAGCAAATTTTTGAGAATTATTGGTGTAACACAAAAAATTGGGAGTTAAAGCGTCAATTTGTGCGCTCGCATATCACTCCGAAGAGTGTAATACGTCGTAGACCTAAAAACCATTCTAAAAGGCCGAGAGAAGTCAGCATTTCTTATAATTTTGAAATAAAGTTAGATGGAGGTGTAAAAAAAATTGACGTATGTAAAAAATTTTTTTTAAACACTCTAAATATTTCAGAAACAGTTGTACGTAACGTTCTAAAAAACGACAATATGGGAGGCTTTGTGACACAAGACCATAGGGGAAGGCATGAACCAATTAATAAAACACCAGAAGCGGTTTTGGATCGAGTACGAGAGCACATTAAGTCGTTTCCGTGCTACGAAAGTCATTATTCTCGATCCAAAACTGCCAAGAAATATCTAGGACCGGAATTGAGCCGTGAAAAAATGTACAAATTATATACCTTAAAGTGTGAAGAAGACCACATTCCAAATAATGAAATTGTTAAATTATGGCTGTATAAAAAAATTTTCAATAATGATTTTAATTTAGCATTTAAATCGGTTTCCGTGGATACTTGTGATAGTTGCGATCGGTTTATGCTACAATTAAAAAACTGTTCCGAGCAAGAAACAATAACATTACGGCGAAATTATGAACAACATCTTCAAGAAGCAGAAAGTCGATACAAAATGAAAGCAAACGATAAAAATGAAAGCAAAAAATCAGCTGGAAAAACTAAAATTATAATGTGTGATTTGCAGAAATGCTTGCCTACGCCCTGTTTGACAAATAACCAAAGTTTCTACAAGCTGAAATTATGGACTATAAATTTCACGATATACGACGCCACAGAAAATAAATCGTATTGCCTTATCTGGGATGAATCCGAAGCTGGAAGGGGTGGCCATGAAATTGCCTCGGCATTAACTAAATGGGCTCTGACAGTTCTATCACAAACTGATGTGGAAGAATTGGTTATTTGGTCAGATAATTGCCCTAGTCAAAACCGCAATGTTATGGTAATGATGAGCTACTTTTGGCTTTTGAACATCTGCCCTAATTTAAAAGTAGTTAACCATAAATATTTACTGAGAGGACACACTCATTTAGAAGCTGACCAAGTGCACGCTATAATTGAAAGATCTGTAAAAAAACAGCCAACAATGCAGATCGTAACGCCTTGGGATTGGCAGCAATTAATCAGTTCCGTAGGTGCTCAGGTAATTAAAATGGACAAAGATGACTTCAAAAATTTTGAAGTACTTTACTCTCAGTCTCAATCCCCATTCATCACTAAAAAGAAAAATGCCGACAATAATAATTTCCTCATTTCAAACGTAGTCCAATTCCAAGTAAAAAAAGACACACCGACCATAATTTTTTATAAAGAGGCTTTTGAAGAAATTAGACCCAAAGAATTACACGTCGCTAGAAGAACAGCAACTGCGATCAATCTTCCAGAGCAGTTACCATTACGATATCAAAAACCCAAAGGGATCACACAAAAGAAAAAGGATCACTTACTAATCCTTTTACAATGGATCCCTAGTCAGTTTCAGGAGTTCTATAGAAATTTAGTTGTTACTAAAAAAAAAGTTGATGATAGCGATGATGAATAAATGTTTTTTTATCATTTTTTGTGTTTTTGTTTGAATTTATGTAGGCACTTACTATTTTATACAATGTTTTATCTGCCGGTACATGCCGAGGCAAAAGACCTTAAGTCCCAATATTATGCAATATATAAACAAATTTTTTATCACAGTAGGACAATATTGATTAACTAATATATAACGTTACAATTATATAAATACATAATTTCATATGTCTTCAGATTAAGAACAGTTGCAATAATTATCTGGAACTCATCTTATTTTCCCATTATCTCAAAACTTCACTAAATGGATATACTACCCTTTACCTCTACGGTACAGATATATGTATTTAAAAATCAGTATATAGCATAGGAGTACAACTTGTCAACCTCCCGTGTTTGAATCGTTAATTAACCGAGTGTTGTGACGTCATTTTGGTTTCCCATTACCTCATCAAACACTCGAGCTGGATACAAAATAATACACGGAAGGCCAACAAATACCTCCCATTTGTTTCCCAGTCAAGTGAGCGTACAAAGGTGCCATCCACTTTGATGGTCATGACCGAAAATTATTTAATATTATCATTTTCTGTTTTGTACACTGTACGAAATGTGCAAAAATTTGCTTGTTTTAGAGAAAGCTTGCTTTTGCTGTAATGTCAACCTGGTGAATTGTACTCTGTGCCTGACGCCCCGTTTGTACCTGACTGCTAGACCTCCACTTTCCATTCTCCTTCAACTGAGACACACCACACTAGTTTTGAGTCTGAACCTGACATATTTTTTTCCGAGGTGGAATTCGCTTTAAAAAGACTTAAGTTAAACAAAGCAGCAGGATATGATCTCATTACTGCAGACGTCTTGAAGCATCTTCCGGAATGTGGAGTGAAAATATTACATCGATTGTGCTATGAAATATGGCACACAGGCGTCTGGCCTGAGGATTGGAGAAAGACCATAATCATACCTCTTCATAAGAAAGGTTCAACAAATAATTGTAACAACTACAGGCTATTAGCTCTAATATCACACGCCAGTAAGGTGATCCTCTACATACTGCAACGGCGTCTAGAAAACTTCATAAGTTGGCAAATAGCACCTGAGCAGGCTGGATTTGTAAAGGGCAGAGGTACTAGAGAACAAATCCTTAATGTACGAAACATCATAGAAAAAGCCAGAGAATACCAGATCCCGATATTTATATGTTTCGTCAATTATACAAAGGCCTTTGATAATGTTAGATGGGACAAACTATGGAACATATTGACGACAATGGGTGTACCTAAACACTTGACTCACCTTATTAGCAAACTGTATCAAGATAACCTGGCATATATTCGAATGGACGGATATCTGTCTGACAAATGCACTTTGGAGAAGGGAGTACGCCAAGGATGCGTTTTATCTCCCTTATTATTTAACATCTATTCGGAGTTTATAATGCGCAGAGTTTTGGATGGTTGGGAGGGAGGAGTAAACCTAGGTGGTGTTAAGATATC